CCCCTTAGCTCAGTGTTGCAGCAACACTGGTCCTAGACTCCGCGTGCTGACCTACCTAAAACGGATAGTGAAGTAAAACATTTTTCACTTTAGGCTGACCTGACACGTGGTAGGCGGCAACCTCATTATAACAATGAATGGGCCGATCGACTGTGCATTGAGCGCGGCTTGCACCGTACTACCAAAGTAACCTCAACCTTATCTGATCTTGGAAAGGGCCGTAATTATTTGTGGGCCACAAAGAGAGAACTCTTGCTATATATAGCACAGTAGACAATATATATTTTAACAGTGACTAAATTGAAATGACAAATTGTTTCTGACATCAGAGGCATCTCGGGCATATTTGTACAGAAAGCATTTGGGCAATTAAAATTGGGCAACTAAAAACCTAAACCTCCTTTCTACTTTGGTCGATTTGATTTAATTTTGATTTAATTAATAAAATCAGTTTGATGTAATTTTTCCAAATCTAATTTCCCTCACAGATTGGATAAAGCACCTGTCACTTTGTGTTGTGTTTGAACCGTAATGATTTTATGAGCTTAGCTAAATTCAAAAAGCTTTTATACACTAAAGATTTTATTAGTTAAACAGCAGAGAAATTAATTCTGCTCTGTTATATAAAACAAATTAGTTTTCATTTTTTTAATTAAATCTGCAACTGTTGTTGATCACCTCTCAAACATTAACAGCCTTTTCAGCAATCATTGATTAATGGCAAATCAAGATGGTGATTTATGAAATGATTTCAAATCCAGAATGCGAGTTGAGTTCAAAGTGGTTCTAATTGTTCTTGATGTAGATGAAAGTCCATTACAGGCAATATATATATCTGCCTCACCCCTGTGTGAGATGCTGCTCTCTGTCATGTTCAGTTTCATTTTATTGATTCATTTATTTATTGGATTAGAGCGGCAATGCGACATGCGACCAGGGAACATTTTGAGGTGAAATTTGGACTATCTTCTACTTTCTGCCAATGATGTTCATCACTGTGCAGCCACAATAAGAAAAGCAAAGGTGGCGTACGTGTATACAATGCAAAAATATTGAGATGCATATCTCATCCTACAAAGACACTTTCAGTTCGACTACTTCCACTTTTGTAGAAACAGACAGGAAAATGCCCTATTATGTTCTAGCATGACAAAGCAAAGCCCATTTAGGCCTGCTCGGGTGAGTTCGACATCAAAGAACCTGAGCAGACCACATACAGTACCGCATACTTGATAATGCAGTTTTATGTTTTCAGCCTCATGCTTCTATTTACCCTATGATGTATTTTAGAATTCCCTTTTCAAATGTTCCCACAAAGAGGCCGTCACTGCGGCATCATTAAACACCCCTGGCAATAAAGGCTTCTTTTATTAGCATTATAACGGTTAGTCTTTGTTAAAATGGCCCCAGCGACGTGATTTACTTTTGGGCTCACATCGGTATATTTTATCATTTCCATCTTCTCAAAATGGACTTTGTGTCTAGTAATGTTGGTCCCATTAAAAAAAAAAAAAATCCATAGGATTTAAGACTATACTATATGTTATAGAGGCCAATAAAACACACTGCTTAATGTTGAGTGTGCTTCAGTAGCAAATGCAAATCAAATGGATGAGTCTTGTGAGTTGCAGTGTTTGTGCTGTATAGCCTTATAATAGGGGGAAATGATGTTTGTTTTAGGGTTTATTTTTAGATGTCCTCCGTGTAAATGTATCATGGACATATGGCACCATAAAAAAATGATGCCATTATCTTTTGAGTTTAAAAAAATGCACTCTTGTCTTTAATCACGGTTCATTAAGAGGCAATATGCATTGTTCAAGTGTAAACTTCAGTGACACAATTCACAATAAAAGTTCTCCAAATATAAAGAGGTGGCACAACTGTATTTCAATGGCTTGTTTTCTTCAAATTGGATTTTCTTCTCTCTCATTCTGGGTGTTAATCTCTTCACTTTCCTCCCTGGCACGATGTCCTCTGATCCTCTGGGCTTGGACATACGATCTTGTTATGCCCTTTTCTTCAGCTCATCTTTCCATTCTTGCAGCCATCTGTCACTTTAGCCTGGAGGAAACATTTTCCATGTCAGAACCTTGGGTTTTCTGGCAAAGTGATGGTTAGGAAAGTGTTTCAGTAGCTACTCTAAGATAGATTGTGAAATTCTGACTGACTGAAGAAATGTGCGGTAGATATTTTTTCGTCATACCCAAAGCTGCGATTTGATCCAATGTTGATATCAATCATCACTTCACTCGTCTTTTTTAACAGCATAGTTTGT